GCAGAGAGACCTGGGTTTCCTTGTGCATGAATCACAAAATGCTGGTTTGCAGCAGGTAAATGGAATATTATCCGTCATTACTAGAGGGACGGAGTTTAAACACAGGGAGGTTATGCTGCAGCTGCACAGGGTGCTGGTGAGGCCACGCCCAGAGTACTGTGTAAAATTTTGATCTGCTTACTTGAGAAAATATGTACAAGCACTGGAGGGGGTACAGAGGAGGTTCACTGGGTTGATTCCGAAATTGAGAAGGTTGGCTTATGAGGAGAGATTGAATAGACTTGGACTATACTCATTGGAATTTAGAAGAATGAGGAGGGATCTTATAGAAACATATAAAATTATGAAGGGAATGGATAAGATAGAAGCAGGGAGGGTGTTTCCACTGGTGGGTGAAATAGAACTGGGGGCATAGCCTCAAAATAAAGGGGAACAGATTTAGGACTGAGTTGAGGAGGAACATCTTCACCCAAAGGGTTGTGAATCTGTGGAATTCCCTGCCCAGTGAAGCAGTTGAATGTTTTTAAGGCAAAGATAGGTAGATTTTTGTACAGTATGGGAATTAAGGGTTATGGTGAGCAGGCAGGTAAGTGGAGTTGAATCCACAAAAAGATCAGCCATGATCTTATTGAGTGGCAGAGGAGGCTTGGTGGGCCAAATGGCCTACTCCTGCTCCTATTTCTTATGTTCTTATTAAGAACATACTTAATGACCCAAACCCGACAATGTTCTATGGTGAAGAATTCCACAAATTCATTAACCTCTGAGAGAAAGAAACTCCTCCTTATCTCTAATTTAAAGGTACGACCCCTTATCCTGAGATTAAGCCCTCTGGTTCTAAACTCACTCACAAGGGAGAAAACAAACCTATCTGGTTCACTAATGCTTTTAAGGAAGGAAATCCATCATCCTTACTTGGCTTGGTTTTGATGTTCAGCAATGTGTCTGATTCCTAACTGTCCATTGAAATGGTCAGTCACCTGTATCAAACTGCTTCTGAACTGGCTCGAAGGTAGAAGACAGAAGGTGGTGCTGAAGGGTTGCTTTTCAGACTGGACGCCTGTGACCAGCAGTGTGCCACAAGGATCAGTGCTGCGTCCACTGCTTTTCGTCATTTATATAAATGATTTGGATGTGAACATACGAGGTATGATTAGTAAGTTTGCAGATGACACCAAAACTGGAGGTGTAGTGGACAGCAAAGAAGGTCAGCCCAGAGTACAATGGGACCTTGATCAGATGGGCCAATGGGCTGAGGAGTGGCAGATTGAGTTTAATTTCAATAAATGTGAGGTGCTGCATTTTGGAAAAGCAAATCAGGGCAGGACTTATACACTTAATGGTAAGGTCCTGGGGACTGTTGCTGAACAAAGAGACCTTGGAGTGCAGGTTCATAATTCATTGAAAGTGGAGTCACAGACAGATAGGATAGTGAAGAAGGCATTTGGTATGCTTGCCTTTATTGGTCAGTGCATTGAGTATAGGAGTTGGGAGGTCGTGTTGCAGCTGTACAGGACATTGGTTAGGCTACTACTAGAATACTGTGTGCAATTCTTGTCTCTTTGTTAAAAGAATGATGTTGTGAAACTTGAAAAGGTTCAGAAAAGATTTACAAGGATGTTGCCAGGGTTGGAAGGTTTATGCTACAGGGAGAGACTGAATACGCTGGGGCTATTTTCCCTGGAGCATTTTAGGCTAAGGGTGACCTTATTGAAGTTTATAAAATCATGAGGGGCATGGATAGGGTACACTGGAACACTGCAGCAAGCCACAGACAGAGATATTGGCCAGGGAGCAGAGTGGTGTGTTAAAGTGGCCGGCAACTGGTAGCTCAGGGTCTTTTTTGCAAGCAGAATGTAGATGTTCTGTAAAGCGGTCACCCAGTCTGCGCTTCGATTCCCCAATGCAGACGAGACCACATTGTGAGCAGCAAATGCAGTAGACGAGATTCTGGGAAGTGCAGTTGAAGTGCTGCTTCACCTGGAAGGTATGTTTGGGCCCTTGGATAGTGGGGAGGGAGGAGGTAAATGGACAGGTGTTGCACCTTCACTGGTTGCAGGGGAAGGTGCTGTGGGGCCATGGGACTGTGTTGGGTTAAAGGAAGAGTGGACCAGGATGTCCCGGATGGAATGATCCCTGCGGGAGGCAGACAAGGGAGGGGAGGGGCATATGTATCTGGTGGTGGCATCTCACTGGAGGTGATGGAAATGGCGTCTGATGATCTTCTGGATGTGGATGCTGGCAGGATGGTAGGTAAGGACAAGGGGAACCATGTTGCAGGAGGGAAGAGAGGGGATCAGAGCAGAACTGCGGGAGATGGGGTGGATCTGGTTGAGACCCCTGTTGACAACGATGTTGGGGAAAAAGGTGGACATTTCAGAGGCTCTCTTGTTGAAGTTGGCCTCATTTTCTCTGGAGACGGAGGAACTGAGAGAATGGGATAGAATCTTTACAGGAAGCGGAGTGTGAGGATGTATAGTCCAGGTAGCTGTGGGAGTCAGTGGGTTTATGGTGGATATTGGTGGCCAGCCTATCCCCAGAAATGGAATGTCGAGAAAGGGAAAGGAGGAGTCAGAGATAGACCAGTGAAAGAGAGGGCAGGGTGGAAATTGGAAGCAAAATTGATGAACTTTTCCAATTCTGGACAAGTTTCAGTTTTTATTTAGTGATTTAGGCTGGTAGATCACCACCACCCTTTCTAGAGAACTCAAGTATGGGTCTTGCCCTTGTTGTTCAAATGACAGAATTGAAAATATCTTCTCAGGAAACAGGGGGTGGTTCAACCTTTACACAGGAGGCTTATCACCCAGGTAAAACATGGCCTGGGGCAGCTGCATTGCTTTTTATTTTTGCTGACCATTGCATTAAGCTTGTCAGAGGCATGATGTTACCACTGATTGTCTCTCTCTCTTTAATCAGAGAGCAGCCGATGGTCCTCTGGGAGTATGGTGACTTTCACTCTTTATTCCTGCTGTAAGAACATCTAGTTGGAATGGGATTGTCACCAAACCTGAGGGACATGGTTTCAAACTGATGGAAGAGCAGAGTGGCTGCTGTTCTTGAGATTTGTCCCTCAAATATTTTGTTTGCTTGGCATTTTTGGTGCCTTGCCCCGGATTTAAATTCTGCCTGGTGATGAAACAACTGCAGCTAACCACTGCTGTCTGCCTGAACAGACTCATAAAACTGCCAATATCAAAATGTGCCCTTTTACCACACTCCTTTAAGTGATTGACACATGGCAAATGCATTCAAAATAACTCTGCTACATCACCACCTTACATTGACACTCAAGTTGCACCAGAGTTCGGAATTTACACAGGCCACTTTCAGAGCTTCAGAAAAATACAGGGGGAAAAAGATAGTCATGTATCACATGTATTTTTAATGCTTTAATTTCTTGGAAATCTGTGCAAATGGCCCACAGAGCTTTAAGTTAGAAATGCCATTTGTAGAAACGTGTTTCACAGCTTGTTACTTCATACATGTCTGCACACTTGACTGGCTAGTAAGACTCTCAGCGCCATCCAATGACAAAATCCAGAATTACAATCATCAGCTCTTTTCCACATAACTGAGAATGACTGCATAATGTGAGAAGCATAGCGTGAGAATTTTGTTTGTTTAGATGTCTGCTCGACCATATCTATCCAGCTGGTTTGCTACCCATATGTACTAAAGAGACATGCCACCAAACAGGTAATTCTGCTGAAGCTAATCTTACAAATTGTAATTGTCTGTATTCATTTTCCAACCATCCTCAATTGCTTCATTAATGAGCTTCCCGCTCCATCATTAGACCATGCCGTGTAAATGTTTCTTGATGATTGCCTAACATTCAGCACCATTTATAACTCCTCAGAACTGAAAGAATTGGTGTCCAAATGCAGGCATATGAGTTATAGGGAGAGGTTGAATAGGCTGGGGCTATTTTCCCTGGAGGAAAAGGAGGCTGAGAGGTGACCTTATAGAGGTTTATAAAATCATGAAGGACATGGATAGGGTGAATAGACAAGGTCTTTTCCTTGGGGTGGTGGAGTTCAAAAGTTTAAGTTTAAGGCATAAGTTTAAGGTGAGAGGGGAGAGATTTAAACGGGACGTTTTACGCAGAGAATGGTGCATGTATGGAATGACCTGCCAGAAGAAGTGGTGGAGGCTGGTACAATTACAACATTTAAAAGGCATCTGGATGGGTATATGAATAGGAAGGGTTTAGAGGAGTATGGGCCAAATGCTGGAAAGTGGGACTAGATTTATTTAGGATACCTGGTCAGCATAGATGAGTTGGACTGAAAGGTCTATGACTCTATTTGCACCACAGAGATAACTGATAATGACCATGGCTAAATTAACAGAATCTCCCTTTGAAATTCAATATCATTACCATCACAAAATCCCCCATGATCAACATCTTGGGGTTTAACTTACATCACCTACACCATCTATGATACACAAGTCAGGATTTTGATGGAATACTCCCCACTTGCCTGGATGAGTGCAGCTCTAAAAACCTTCAGGAAGCTCGATACCATCCAAGTCAAAGCAGCCCAGCTGACTAGCATTCAATCCACCACATTCAACGTTCAATTCGTTCTTCATGAATGCTCAGTAGCAGCAGTGTGTACCATCTGTAACATGCGCTGCAGAAACTAACTCAGGGTTTTTCACCAGCACCTTCCAAACTCACCATCTCGATCACCTAAAATGGCAAAGGCAGCAGATTCATGGGAACACCAACCCCTGCAAGTTCCACTCCAAGCCCCACACCATCCTGACTCAGAACTACATCGCTGTTTCTTCACTGTCACTGGGTCAAAATCCTGGAACTCCTTCCCTAATGGCACAGTTGGGTGTAGCTACACCTCAGGAAATGCAGCAGCAGCTCAAAGAGGTAGCTGACCAACATCATCTCAACAGGAGTTAGGGATAGAAACACTGGCCCAGCCAGCAACCACCACATCCCATGGACAGAAATAAACACTAAGCATGGAATAATTATGTTCAAATAACAATTTATCACATTGGAACATCTCACGGAAATTCACAAAACAAGATCACAACAGTACGCAAAAAATAAACAGATCAATAAACACACCAAAATCCCAAGTAACTCATTTATTTTTTGATGCCAGAATTTTCATTGTTTTAAAAAACATTCCGAACAACGACTGAAGAATTCAGAATGATACAAATTAACAGCAAAAACCTGGAGACAAAATTTCTCAAAAAAGGTTAAGATTTCCCTTCTCTATAGTTTAGAGAAATAGTACTTAATTCTAACTTTCAAAGTCCAGCACTTTTGGAATGTTATCAGTGGCTCTTAATAGCAGGAGTACGGAAATAAATTATATACCCAAATGAATCAAAAAACTGTAAAATATGTCTTCAGTTTTTACTATATTATTTAAGTAAAACCACTTTAAAAAAAGGTGCTCACGATGTAGCATCTTCTGTTATTTAAAAAAAATTTAAAATGTGACTTTTTTGATCTAAAGGAGAATTTCATCTGCTTCTTTAGCCCTACTGTTCCAACAATAAAACCATGGTGAAGGTAGCAATCATTGTGACCTCCACCCTGTGTCTGAGGTAGTGACAACTGCTGTGCTTGCCTGTCTGCAACTGACAAAAAATCTTACTGCAATGACCTATAATCGTCCTTGTCCTGAGCATGCCACATTGCAGCTCCAGCATTGCAGAGTTTGTGAGGCTGTGATATTACAGTACATTTCGGGCTGTGTTCAGCTTTGATGAATTGCAAGGGATTTTGGGCTGGATTGGTTTCTGCGGAGGATTTTTGTAGATTGGTACTGGTCACCTTTGTGGAGACAGGGAGGGCACATGGGGTGAAAGAAGCTGAGAGCTTGAAATGCTAAATGTTACAGTCACGGAATTACAAAGCCACAAGAGGTTTAGCTCTGAATTTGCAACATTCAGATGTCATTGTCTGATGATCTTCTTGCTTATTTTTGCATTTTCTGATTTTAAATGGAGGATTTTGGATGTTTGCCAGTGTGTTTTGAATTCACAGTTCTAAATACTTGCCTTTTCTAAACAGAATGTATTCCTTGTCTGTCATAATATTCACAGTGTTGTTAATTACTCCTTACAGTAGAGGTCATACTTCAACATTGCTCCTATTTTTGTGCCTGCTAAACATGCTTCAAACTTTGCATCCATCTCTTCACTCTGCTCTTTAGTGAAAAGGGTTTTCCAGTCTCCAACCACACCTGGATTAAAAGCAAAACAAAGTCGTTAAAACTGACCTGGGCCAATAACGTAGAATCTGGCCACCGCGCCTGTCACTTCAACACAACACCGTGCTCCCACACCAACATTTCCATCTTAGACCTGCTGCAGTGTTCTAGGGAGGTTCAGTGCTAACTGGACAAAGCATCTCATTTTCTGCATGGGGACCCTGCAGCCTTCAGGACTCAAACAGTGAGTTCAGTAACTTTAGAGCCTGAACATGTCTGTTACCCACACATCCTTCCTTCATGTCCATTAGCCATCCCAGCCCCCACACCCCAGACCCTGACCTGACATGGGCTGCTTTCAGCACAGCCGACACATTTTCACCGACTTAAAGTCCCCATTATCAGCTTTTCTTTCTCTCTGGCTTACCATTATCCATCCCTTTGCCTGCCTACCCGTCCTTCTCTCCCTTAGGGCTTCGTCTCCACCTATTTGCTGACTCCTTCGCCCCCAACTTCAGCATATATATACCATATTTGCCTAACTACTAATTATTCTAAAGAAGGGTCACTGGTCCCAAAACATTTACTTTCCTTTCTCTCTGCAGATGCTGCCTGGCCTGCTGAGTTTCTCCAGCAATTTTAGTTTCTACTCCAGATTTCTAATGTCCACACTTTGTTTTATTGATGGAGAATCCTCTTGACTGAAGTAAATAGGGGCAAGTTGGTCTTGGAGTGGGAGCATGAGGGGGTGTTGGTGGTGGAGGGTGGAATTCTTACCCACATATTCGAGGCTTACAATTGTGATGGGCACCGCACTGGCAATAACTTCATGGTCATTGTTTAACTGAGAAACATGTTGCCAAAGCTTTTCATCTTGCACTCATTAGGACAAATGCAAGGATGCCAAATTTGAAAGCATCACAACAATTTATATGTCAGGAGAAAAAAAAACTGCTGATTGGCGGAATCAAACCCAGGTCCCTAGCACTGTGAGGCAGCAGTGCTAACCACTGAACCACTGTGGGGGAGCCAATGGACCAGTAGGGGGCAGGCAGTCTACAGGGGAGTTTTGTAGGCCCATCCACCTGAAAACATATCACTGGGGAACTGTAAAATTCTTGCAGTCAAGGGTCTTATGCAAATCATGGAGACCTCAATAAAGTGGCTGGTCACGAGAAAATCTATAAATTTGCTAGTGTGAATGTGTGGTAACATGTGGCTAATAATAATATGTTGCCATCTTTGTTGCTCATCACTTGTGGTGCACGATTACAGAGGGAAATTACAATAGGTTTTGCCAATGATTCAGGTTTCTATCTGCACAGGAATGCTAATGTTCTTACTTGGGATGACAAACTTCAGTTCGGAGGTAAGGTTGAAAAAAAAATCGGACTTTTCTTCTTGGAACAGAGAAGATCAGAGGTGACCTCAACGAGGTTTGGAAGGGACAGAGGGAAAAAACAGTTAACTAGAAATCACAAATTCAAAATCATCGGGGAAAAATTAAAAGACAAGGGGAACGCATTTCACTCATCAGGACAAATACAGGAAATGGGATCCGGAATGCCATGTTTGAAAAGGAGTCTTATTTTTAATTAGTTTTTTCATGGGATGAGGGCGTTGGAGGCTAGGCCAGTATTTATTACCCATCCCAGAGGGCAGTTAAGAGTCAACCACATTGCTGTGGGTCTGGAGTCACATGTAGGCCAGACCCAGTAAGGTTGGCAGTTTCCTTCCCTAAAGGACATTAATGAGCCACGCCCTCTGTCTTGCAAACTTTTGTTTTTATTTATTCATTCATAGAGTTTGGGCATCACTGCCTGGACCAGCATTTATTGTCCTTCCCTAACTGCCCTGGAGAAGGAGGTGGTGAGGCAGTTTCTTGAACCATCCACATGATGTATAGCCACCTACAATGGATGAATTTCCAGGACTTCACCCCCTGACAGGGAAGGGATGGAGATATAGCTCCGAGTTACGATGGCATGTTACTTACAGGGGAAATTGCAGGCCGGGTGTTCAAATGCACTGCCGTGCTTGTCCTTCTAAATGGTAGAAGACAAAGGTCAAGAGCTGTTTTTGGAGGAGCTTGGTGGGTTACTGCAGTACACCTTGTAGATGGTAAACGCTGCTGCCACCATCTGTCTGTCAATGGTGAAGGGAGTCACTATTGAACGTGGTGAATGGGTGCCAATCAGGGGAAATGCTTTATCCTGGATCATGTCAAGTATCTAGAGTGTTGTAGCAGCTGCACCCATCCAGACAGGTGGAAAATATTCCATCACACTCCTGACTTGTGCCTTACAAATGGTGAACTGGCTTTGGGAGTCAGGACGTATGTTACTTACCACAGAATTCCTAGTCGCTGACTTGCTCTTGTAACCACAGTATTTATATGGCTGGTTCAGTTCTATTTCTGGTCAAAGTTAACCTCATAGGATGTTGATACTGGATGATTCAGTGACTGTTATACCATTGAATGTCAAGGGATTATTGTGAGGTACCCTCATGTTGGAGATGGTCATTGCCTGGCAAACGTGAATGTCACTTGACACATCATTCCAATCCTCAGCATTATCTAGATCTCGCTGTACATGGACGCAGACAGCTTTAGTATCTGAGGAGTTGGTAATTTTGTAAATAATTCAATAAATAATTTGAAAAGGCCACTGGAGAATGACGGAAGATGAAGAATTTTAGTTGTGAAGAGAACATAAGGAGCTCGAAAGGGATATAAATGGAGTATAACATAAGAAAGTGTGAAATTAAAAAGCATGCTACTGAAATGGTGAGAGACTAAGGGGAGGCGATGGCCTTGTTGGTATTATTGCTGGACTATTAGTCTGGAGATCCAGATAACATTTTGGGGACCCGGGCTCAAATCCAGCCACGGCAGATGGTGGAATTTGAATTCAACAAATATCTGTAATTAAGAATCTAATGATGACTGTGAACCCATCGTCAATTGTTGGGAAAAACCCATCTGGTTCACTAATGTCCTTTAGGGAAGGGAACTACCAACAACTGGTCTGGCCTACATGTAACTCCAGACCCAAAAGAATGTCGTTGACTCTGGACTGCCCTCTAGGCAATTAGGGATGGGCAATAAATGCTGTCTAACCAGTGATGCCCTCATCCCGTGAACGAATAACAAAAAAATTGCACGGCTAATAGATGCAGAGAGCTCGGAGTGTCTTAATGCATGTATTGCAGAAGGTTAGAATGCAGGTACAGCAAATAATCAGGAAAGCTAATAGAATGTGGCGTTTTATTGTGAAGGGAGTTGAATGGAAGAGTAGGGAGGCTACGCTCCAGTTTTATGGGGCATTGGTGAGACCTCATCTGGAGTACTGTGTACAGCACTGGTCACTGAGCTCATGGAAGAACTTTAATGCATGGGAAGAGGTTCAGAGAAGGTTTACGAGACTAACACCTGGAATGAGTGAATTGCATTGACACAAGGAAGTCTAGACCGCATTCTCTGGAAGTTTAGAAGAGTCTGAAGTGACTTGCATAGAATCCTTACAGCACAAATGGAGGCCATTTGGTGCGTCGAGTCTGCACCAAACCTCTGAAAAGCATCTCAACGTATCAGCGTATTTCCCATGGCTAATCCACCTAGCCTACACACTACAGACAATTTAGCATGGCCAACTCACCCTAACCTGCACATCACTGGACTGTTGGAGGAAACTGGAGCACCTGGCAGAAATCCACGCAGACATAGGGAGCACATGCAAACTTCACGCAGACAGTCACCCACGGCTGGAATTCAACCCAGATCCCTAGCTCCGTGAGGCAGCAGTGCTAAACACTCAGCCACATGCCACGGATTAAAACATGCAAGATCCTCAGCAGACTTGACCTGGTGGATGTTGAAAGGATGTTTCCTCTCTTATGGAAGAATCTAGAACTAGGGGTCAGAGTTTGCACGAGGGCACAGTTTGCCCTTTTAAGGACAGTGATGAGGAAATAAAAAAATCACTGAAAGTTGAGAGTTCTGGAATTCCCTTCCTCAAAGGCAGTGAATGCAGAATCTTTAAATATTTTTAAGGCAGAGATAGGTGGATTCTTGATTGCCAGTGAGGTGAAAGATTATCAGGGCTATGCAGGAATGTAGAGTTGAGGTTCAAATCAGTTCAACCATGATCCTATTGAATGGCAGAGTAGGGTTGAAGGGCTGAATGGCCTACTCCTGTTCCTTGTTTGTCACTTCGAGGATTACAGACAAAAGCAGGGACTAAGTATGGCTGTTCTTTTACAATGGGTTAAGAAACCTCTTCTGAGCTGCAAGTTTCAATGAACAGCAAAAACACGTTCTATCTTTCCTGCTCCAAACTGAACATTTCAGACCCTCGCGAGAGTTGATTTCCACCTACCCTTTCGGAAGATAATCTTGCCGAAACTTGAGTGAGTTTTCTGAGCGTTTTTGCTCATGGCCTGGAAGGTACCTCTGCCGGCAATCTTTTGAATCTGCTCCTCACTCAGAGAGAGGCCAAAGAACTCTGCAATTGACTGCACCCCCTTTGCCAAGTCCTATTTGGGGGAACACAACAAAACCATCAGAATAAATGCATAACCTGGAGAGTCGGTAAATCAAAATAAATGGGTAATTACAGGTGACCCTGTTCTTCCAGCAACAAGCAGCTCAGCAGGATTCACACTAAGGCATGGCATGCTAGGCCTCTGTCTGACCCACACGCACTTCAAAAACCACTGGAAAGCTGCAAATGCAGAAAAGTAAATGTGTGTAAGAGATTTTAATATATTCCACAGCAAGCTTCAGTTTATTTATCTCCTGCCCTTTTAGCACCTCCCTCCTCCAGTCCCTACCTAGAAAAAGACAGGGACCAGGGCATAACTTAGTTATTTCCTACACTGTTTTACTTGATTCTCTCTCCTTTCTCTATCTCTAAGATCATGACTGAGATCACAAAGTCGTTCATTCCAACAGTCTTTAAGGAGCAAGATATTTTGCTCCATGTTAGAGGTTGAGTCAAATTAAAACAAAAATTGAAATAAACTGTGATTTTCATTTTTCAGACAGAATTCTTTCCCAAAACTAGAAAGTTACACTCTGCCACAGAATGACCTACTAAAGTAAGGTCAGTAAAAAAAAAGACAATTGAATTGTGTATTGAAAAGAAACACATTTTGTTGAAGCTCTGCACTGCTCAGGGCACTTCACAAGAAATACCAATAAACAAGAGGCTAACATTTACACTGGATGAGAGAACAGTGCTGATTGGTCCATAAGCAGACTCTGGTTCTAGGAGGTACAGTCATGGAGAAGGCAGCAGTTAGTGATGATTGACTGTTAACTGCTACACTTTGTTCAGATTTCAAACGAGGCAGATTAACTCTGATCGGTCAGGGCATTGTCCTAAGAATTAAACCAGTGATGACTTATTTTGTTAACCTGAAGCATGCACAGTGTGTTGTGTGCACATGTTCCTTCTGTTTCCATTGTTTCAGTGCCACTGGGTCAAAATCATGGAATTCTCTCCCCAGTGGCATTGTGGGTCTACCTGCAGCATGTGGGCAGCAGTACTGTAAGAAGGCAACTCACCAGCACCTTCTCAATGGCAACTAGGGACAAGCAATAAATGTTGGGCCAGTTAGCAACACCCACATCCCATCAGTGAATAAAAGAACAGTGCCTTGTATATGAAAATGTGTAGCTTGTTGATAGTCTCTTGGCGGCACAGTGTGGCGGTCTCTCGGCGGCCTGGCCTGGTGGGCTCAGTATGGACCCCTGGCCTTGAGATGATTCCAGAGCAGTGTCCCAGCCTCAGGAGTCTGGAGGTGAAGACCAGCACGGTCTGGAGTCAAGGCCCAGCGCGGATGGGTTGGAAGGACTGTTGTTCTGAACTTTTTATTTCTGCACTTTTCTAATTTATTTTCCCCTCAGAATTTGTACGTAAGAATCTGTACCAAGGTACCTTTGTACCTAAGATGGCACTGTAAGTGGCGACTTGTAAACTTTTCACTTTACTCATTTCAGTACATGAGACATAAAAGCTCATTCTAATTCTAATTGTAATGGTAGAGCGGGGGATGTGCCGCACAACTAAGTCATGGATCATGTTGAACACAATCGTACTGCTGCTGAAACCCATGGCACCTCTGGAATAACTAGTCTTTCGCTGCTCGATCTGTTGACAATCTATCCCGTCCAGCAAGGTGGTAGTGCCATACAACAAGCTGGAGTTTATCTTAAATGTGAAAACAGGGCTTTGTCTCCATAAGGATCGTGTGATGGTCACTCCCACTGTTGCTGTCATAGACAAATGCATTTACAGAGGTGGTGGTTGGTGAGGACAAGGTCCATATATTTTTTTTCCTTCTTGTGGGTTCCCTTGCCATGGCAATGTCTTCAGAACTCAGCCATCACTGTCAATAGAGTCAACCTGTAGTAATTAAGCACCCAATTTATGTCCATATTTTTGTCATTTGCTAATACAGGGGTGAAAGTGGCATTAAAGTCTGCTAGCCTGTGACAAGTCCCCACAGTACATATGAGGAAATGAAGCTGCATACTTTCCTGCTCAATTCCACTTATTATTAAATGTGCTGTTGCAAAAAATCCTTCCTCTGGTTTCACATTTGAAAAAAACTGTGATTTAAATATTGGACAGTTGAAGTGATTCATCGATAACACCATTGTGAAATTGTGTGATTGCCACACTGTCGAACAGGCTGGATGGGAATCACAGTGTGTTCTCTCTGATGTCACAATAAAATGGTCAGTGTTTCCCAACTTCCCCACAACATGACACAACATTTAAACTGTGTTTAATGAAGGATGCCCACGTTCTGCCCTAGTCGCACTGAGCTTTATTTAGATCAGGACAGGGATTACAGCAGCAGCCCTTTGCTACCAAGTGGGTGAAATGCAATTTCGTGGTTAACCTTACTCCTTCCCTGCATTGGATTATCTCCATCACCTCCGTCACTGTCACAGGAGGCACCTAGATCAGGCCTGCTCCCAGAAAGGGAATGGAAAAAATATTAATGCAACACTCTGGCTTCCTGTACGTACTAACAACTTTTTCACACAGAGGATGCTGTGTGTATGGAACGAGCTGCCAGAGGAAGTGGTGGAGGCTGGTACAAGTATCAAATTTAAAAGACATCTGGATGGATACATGAATAGGAAGGGTTTAGAGGGATATGGGCCAAATGTTGGCAAATGGGACTAGATTAACTTAGGATACCTGGTTGGCATAGACGTGTTAGACAGAAGAGTCTGTTCCTGTGCTGTACGCCTCTATAGCTCGATGACTCTGGATGAATCAGGAGCAGGCACAGGCCATTTGGCCCTTCAAGCCTGCTCTGCTGATCTTATCGTGACCTCAGTCTCATTTTCCTGCCTACCCTTGATAACTATTGCTTCTTAACTAATGAGAGAGTCAATCTATTTCTTCTTAGAAATATTAAATAACTCGGCCTCCATCACTTTCTGAAGGCGAGAGCTGAAAAGACTCAAGACTCTGAGAAACAAATTCTGCGAATCTCAGTCTCAAATGGAAGACTCCTTTTTAAATCGCATCTGCTGATGTCCAGGTCCATGGATCATAATGTAATGCCGCACTGCTGGAGTGCCTCATGGTCAGAGGTGTGGTCCTTTGTATTAAATGTTAAACTTAGGTCCTAATGGAACACTTAGGTGGGCATTGAACAACCTGGTGTGTAAGGTAATGGTTTGAAAGGAATTAAACATTAAATTGAGCGCCATCCATTCTTTTGATGTGAAAACACAGTCTGAGTGGATAGTGAGTTCTATAATAGCCTCTGTAGGGAGCAGAGTCCTAGTATTTATACTGGAACAGTATGTAGTTATACCTCTCTGCAATAAACCAGCTTGTTAACTAAGAACAATGCAAAGACTCTAGAGTGCTGCATTCTCTGCCATTGATCATTAGAAAGATCCAAGACAAACTATAGACAAAGTAGGACTGATGGCAGAGAATTATCTCAAACAACCCTTACTCTGAACCACATACTGGCAGATTAGCTATGAAGTGCCAGTCATGGAAATCAGGGTAATACCACAGAATCCATGTTACTATTTGAAAAATGACAATGATCCCTGCAGAACAACAACATATAGCTAGCAACATCAACAAAGAAAAAAAAATGACTAAATGGTCACTGCACATCAGAGTAAGTTTAAAAATATATCCTCTTGTGGGACATGGGCAACACTAGCTCAGTCCATCTCTAACTGCCCTATGCAAAGTCATTTGAGAAACTTGGTACAATATACAGGCCATTCTTTCATTAGATTATTAATTTATTTTTGATTAACAGCACCTGTTTAGCATCATACATTTGTTTTTAAAATGGATTAATGAGCTGACTGCGAACAAGCATTTATGAACTCTTATCCAAATGGGTGCCTGGCAAATTGATCTGGGCCCACTGTCACACAGATAACTACAAGCCTATTGAGGGGCAGATATTCCTTAGCTTGGGAAAAACAAAATGGACGGAAAAGCAGAAGCCAAGGTGATTACAGAGGCAATTTCCACTGCACCACTCAAAAGCTGAGGAAATTGCTTTCCAATTCAGGGCTGAATATTCAGCAAATACCCATTTGAGTACACAATTACTTGCATCATACTGATTCAGCCTATCTGGGTTCTGGCTGACTAATGGGATCTGTCTCGTTGGTACCAAAAAAGTAACTACCGACTTGAGGTCTGGGGAAAGTAACCCAAATAGAAAGGAGAAACTCCATTTGCAGTGCATTAAACACTATTAAAAAAAAACTTAACAGTATTTGTGTCAATCGTCAACTAATACTATAAAGAAGACATTTACTGGGAAACATAGAGGAAGAGGAGAAAAAGCCATTCAGCCCACTCCTTTAATAAGATTTTTTAATAATTCACTGTTGTGGACTCCAACCAGTCCATCTCCTGAGGGAAGGTTGAGTAGGAGATTTCTGTTCCTGAAGCCCTAGAAGGCTGGTCACACGTGAGGGAGGCGAAGCCATGCTTACTTATGTTTTTCATTGTTTCTTTCCTGGAACAGATCATCAGCCTGAAGCTTATTGCTTAAAAGGGGATTACTTCACTTCAAGCCCTGCAGACCCGAGTCTGAGTTTCTCCCGCTCTCACTGCCTGCCATAGGCCAGTTGGAGGGACTTACAAGTTGATGCTCAAACATATTCGGCCACATTGTGAGGGCACCTCCCATGGCCATTAACCCCTGCACTAGGACATGAACCAGATCATCTGAGACATTACCTCCCCTTGCACCTGAAGGATTATTCAGTTTGATGTTGTTTACAAGAACACAGGAGCACTTGGATTGGTGCCTGGGTGAAAAAGTGTTGATGACAGGTGACATCATTGATACTGGAAATGTTTGCAATCATCCAATGTACCAAGCACAGCTGAGGTCAACTCATTTACATCCATTCCTGACACTCAGTTGTGTTGAGCAATGACTTGTGGCAAAAGACAAACCTATACAAGTGCTGCGGTAGGCTTGTTGATTGGGAAAGACAGGCAATGAGGAATTTGCATTTCTGCAGTTTGTCTCACAACCTCATTGCATCACATAGTGCTCAGCAGGCAATGAAGTACCTTTTGAAGAGTAGGCATTATTGTAAAGTGGGAAACACAGCAGCCAATGAAATCACAGCAATCTCCCATGAATAGCAATAATCCACTAGTTTGATTTGTGGCATTGGGTGTTGCTTAAGGAATAAGTAATGGCCTGGATAATAGGGACAGTAACAGTGCAGCATTCCTCCAATATTGCGTTATTCTATCATGTGGTCATGACCTCTGACTCAGCATGTTATCACCCAATTCTAGTTAGTTCTAGTTAATTTCTAGTAAAAGGAGGAATATGGAGATGACAAATGAATCAGGAGTCATGGGTTTTTCCCCCCTTTAACAACATAGTTGCACACCCTGTTAAAAAATATTCTGCCATCTTTTTCCTGTGTCAACACCAGTTACCTTTCTCCTCTCAACTGAAACATGTCAATTTATGTATGACACTCACTCCTGTTGTTTACTTCATTAGCTTGCCCTGGTCATGTATTTCTCTGTCTTACTACTGCTTGGGTTCTACCTGACATGCCTTCTTAATCTTGTCTTTCTAACCTTTTCATCTTGAGCCTTGTCTCTGAAGAAACACAAATTATTTAATCAACTTGTCAATTTGTTTTTAATGTTGCAAACTTCTATTCAACTGGGGACAACTCATTTCTGAAGAAAACAAACTTCCTCAGACTTTGTTCATAAGTTAAATTTCTGATATAAAATATCAAGAGATAATTTTATGCCAGACACCAGCAGTTTTGTGATAAAAGGAGTAAAAATTTCTACAACGTCCATATCCGTGGTCACGTAAATATATTGGCACAAATTAGCTACCGTAAAATATTACAAAGAGAATTTTTACTAGATGCATAACAAGCAAAAGGGATTGCTCCTCATAAGAGGTAAATGAAGGTTGATCATTCTGTTAACCGCCTCCAGTAGTTTAATGTGTCTAATCTTTAGTTTTGACAGTAGTTATCTCTCAATAAGGGCAGTCCTGTACACTAATCTGCACAGTGTTGGCTTTGCATCAAAAGAAAATTACACTGACCTCTTTCAGCTCTTCGTATGTGATTATCTTCACATTCTCGTCATCAACATGTTTCTCCCACACAAGAGCATGATCGAAGTAGGAGCCCCAACCGACTGTTTTAAAAATAAAAAGTAGCATCAGGAAAAAAAATATTAATCAAAGGTACAGTAACACATACGATTGTGCTACACAAGGTATTTCTATCAGAGTCAGTGCTCCCCCAAGAATCTTTTCTGTAATTGAGTTCCTCATTCTTCTCAAACAGAAGGGTAACCTTGCAACATAATATCCAGTGATACAGCATTGACCACTGTTGAACACAACAGCCCTGTTAATGTAATTTGTTCTTTTTGAATGGATCTACTGTGTCTTATCAGAGTAGTGAATCTATCAGATGGTGTCCCTTAGACCTAAACTTGTGAATTTGATTTACTACAACGCAGTTGTTAAATGTTAAGGTGTAATTTCGGTCAGAATTAATGACTTAAAAACGTGAAGTCCCAGAGCATTAGATAACAAGATTTAAATGACAGGAAGTCTGTAGGTGCAGTCAGGCTGGAGGTTAAGAAATACCAGACTGAGGCACACAGACATAATTCATATTAACATCAGCATTCAGGGAAATAGATGTGGTGACTTTATCCTTTTTCTTTGTTTCATTTGATGAAGCTGAATTGAAGCTGCTGTTGGAATGCAAAGCAGAGGGGCATATAATCGCACACCACTTAGCTCAGAGAAGGGGGTCGATTCCCAACACTCCACCAGGGATCAAGGGTCAGGCTCCCTTTCTATGCTGCATCAAACCAGGGCTCAATACCAGACTTGATGAGCAATCGAAAGCGATGGATATGCTGTGTCACAAGGTTACTGATCATCAGTCTAGGGCTGCTCATCAATACCATTTAAAACTGTTCAAATTTAAGCCCCATCGTAAGAAAACAAATGGGAAGAGCATTTTCACCGTCAATTCCACAATACCGGAAAGCATTCACCGTTAAATATCCTGCATTCGCAATGCTCCAGACTCCTTGGTCCCTTGCTCCAAAAAGCAAAGACAGCTTGTATTTTCAAAACTTGTATTCTTTTTCATACCATTATTCCTTGCAAATGAATGTCATAACTCTGCCCCAGTTCTGAACTTCTGATAACTGAAGTGTTTTCAAATGTCACTAAACTTAAGACCAGAGTATGGGGCCGCGGTGGTGTGTGACCTCTGGGCCAACTGGCAAGGATTCAAGTCCCAACTGCCCTAGATGTTTGTTTTAATGTGCCTGAATGGGTTGAGTAGAAATATCTATAATCAGCGAAGTTTTGAGTTCCAAATTTGAGATTCCAGGTGGTTGTTGGTTCACAGACACTCGGTGCCCAATTCCTAGCATTAGACTGGACTTGGGTCACTGAAAGCCATCTCCTACTTCCCTTGGCTCTGACCCAGCCCTTTGTTGCCCCTTTCGTAACCCCTCTTTCTGTAACCCCGACAATCTCTGGTGTCCATGGTTCTAGAGGCGACCATCAGGCTGGCCCTTGGCACATTACCTGCACATTACCTAGTGGCACAGACAGGTTCTTACACCCAAGCGAAGCCCCGTCAGTGACCAAGTGCCTGAGCTGTACTTACCTTGGTCAGGCATCCCCATGGTAACGACAAGGGGTTCCCATCGGTTCTCCAACCCAGTGAGCAGGACGTCACTGCCACATTAAATCCCAGCCTTTGAGTCTCAGACAACATGTGTCTGCTTTTGCAGTGACATCCATTGGTCACCTTGCGAGCACGGTGTCTATCCGATTCTTGTTGACAAGGGAAAGATGATGGTGGACAGATTGTGTCCCACTTCAGCTCTTACTGCCTCACCTGCATCACCAATTTTTACTTGACTGACTTCATGATGAAGGTGATTCCCTCCCGGAACAGAAGTCGGTGCCTCATTTTAACAGATTTTAAATTGCCCCACTAATGGAAGCTGTTTATTTGGTCCTAAGCTCTGGAATTCTCTCCCTGAAAATCCTCACCTTTCCACTTAAAAATCTACCTCACTGACTAAATATTCGGTTATTTGCCCTAATATCTCCTGACGTGGACCACAGACCCCAAGCACAAGTGGGTCACAGTTGGACTGGGATAAAGAATGGTTTGGGTTCCAGTGAGGCAGAGGCTGAGATCACAGATCAATTCTGCTGTAGGGGACTCAAAGGGAAGGATCCTTATTGAGGTCACGAATGGATTACCACATCAATGTGCTTGGTGCTAAGACAGTCCTTATATGCCAATTTTTATGCTGACATTTGAACTAGGAAAGAGGTCAAGGGAGAAAACTTCGGTTTCACTGAAAGGAAAAGGCAGACAACACTGTCAATGGATAGGCATCGTTCTTCCAATCCTTCAACATTTTCCAGAAAAATCTCCTTGACTAGAAAATGCTTTTCTTTTGCTTTGCTGCATACATTTACTTGCTTGATGTCAGCTTTTCCAAAATTTGGGAGTGTACAGATACTCATTTCGTACTAGAGAACTTGACTATTGCTGAAAAAAAAATACCATTTTGTCAAAACGTTTTGTTTTGCACTCATAGGTAATGTCTCCCCCAATCAGAGTCAGTTTGTCAACCAATTAGCAATCTCCTCTCATGTCATATAAATGTTGGTCCTCCCTCAAATTGGTGCTCTTGCAAAATGTCCTGATGAGTGCAAGGTGAAAATTTTCCAAAAGAGATATCTTTTTGAGCGATGCTGAACTGGTATTATGCTGACAGCATAGACGATACGGACTGTAGATATTGGAAGCTAGAGTCTATAGGTGTGAAGCTGGAAAAGCACAGCAGGTCAGACAGCATCCGAGGAGCAGGTAAGTCAACATTTCGGGCCGAAACCCTTTGTCGCTCATTATGCTGATAGTGTACAGCTAATGTGTGTAAAATTCTAAAAAAAACACACAATCTAGGAATGGTTAAGCCTGAGAGTAATTGTAGCCAAGATGCATTACCTTCTCCAGCCATGTACTTTCTGAAAAACTCATCCCAAGATGCAGAGGCGGGCAGTAAAGGATTATTCTGACAGAAGTGATAATAGGACACTGCATTGTCTTTGGGATTGCGAAATACAACCAGTATCTGTAGAGAGGTAACAAGTCAAGCACATTTAATCTTTCTGCTCTGAGACTGAGGGTAAGCCAAACAGAATATTACTACCATCTATTGTGCTTTCAGTTTAATCGTGGGAAATCCTCCAGTGTAGTTTGCAAACCCAATTCCAATCAATACTCGATTTAATAAGGAGAAGTACTGTCAGCATTATCCAAAGACATAACACTCTGGTTCATGGTTTACTCTGAAACCTTTCTTGTTGAATAAATTGGGTGGCACGGTGGCACAGTGGTTAGCACTGCTGCCTCACAGTGCTAGGGACCCGGGTTTGATTCCAGCCTCGGGCGACTGTCTATGCAGAGTTTGCACATTCTCCCTGTGTCTGCGTGGGTTTCCTCCGGGTGCTTCGGTTTCTTCCCACAGTCCAAAGATATGCAGGTTAGGTGGACTGGCCATGCTAAATTGCCCATTGTGTTCAGGGATGTGTAGATTAGGTAGGTTTGGGGAATATGCCTGGGTGGGATGCTCTTAGGGTCAGTGTGGACTTGTTGGGCCAAACAGCCTGTTTCCACACTGTAGGGATTCTATGAAAAGAATGTTTTTCACTTACCAGCTTCTAGGCTGAAGGAGTCCATGCCACCAGGTTGCTCTCGTGATTCTATTAATCTGGCTATCACGTTTAGTGGCAATTTGATTTGAGTCACTCTTTGTCTATGTAAAACAAACACCTGACATATTCTCTGGAATTTCTGGATGACAGTTAAGTTTGTGATCTCGTTTGTGTAAAGAAATCCAATTTCAGTTGTGACTCTGCCAGCTAAAGCTTATCATACTAGGCACTGATCAAGCCTGCTACACACAAAATGTGTTTGAAGTCAAAAAACAACTATCACTACTTTGCAGCTTTCCTTTTTGTCCATTTTCTTTCCTGATTCCTCAAGTCTATGTATATTCCCTTGCTGGTCCTTACCTCTCCAATACCTTATCTAATTGACTAGCTCAGTTGAAATCCAGACAGAGAGACATAGACAGTAGATGACCACAAAACCCAGGGGTCTGGGTTACACTGATGGAATCAAAACCATCCTAACCAATTTCCACTTCACTCCACATATATTACCAGTATGGATCAATTATTAAATCACTTTTACTTAAAGCAGTTTTGTAATTATACAATGGAGTTCAACCTTGCTTAAACTCATTCAATAGTTCTATCTGGTTTTTGTATAGAAATTAAAATTTCACCGTTTGATGAAAGGAGTGCAATATATAGATTATCATTTTGAAATGTGGTTTGTTTTAAAAAGAAAATGCTGATGGATGTAAGTTATGGCTATGAATTTCTTTTTTAAAAAATGATCAGCAAGTCATTGTGGAGCAAGATCTAAATTCAGCATCACCCAGAAAGCAGACGGTTGCAACCCATTATGGTGTTAACGGAAAGATTTTAATTTTGTTTTATTTAATCTATTTTCTTCCCTAATCGACCTTCTCAGAGATGTTATTACAAGCATCTGGAGCAGGTGGGACCTGGACCTGTGCCTCTAAGTCCAGGGGTTGGGACACTACCACTGTGTCACAAGAACCTGCTACGAATGATTGGTATACTATTGAGTTTATGAGTCAGCCAAAGAGGATAATGATCAAATCAATTAAGCCCTTTGCAGATGTTGTTAAGGTGATTAAAATCTGGGTTTGGTCTCACGTTACGTGCATTGACATTTAATGTGTAATCTTACCTTTGTTTTCTTCTCATTTATAGATGGTGGCAAATTGTTGTAATGATTGTGTGTGCCATAGACACGAGGAGATGGATCATTTTTCATTATCTTAAATGAATAACCAGAAAGATATGTGTAAGAACTTGCAAAAAAGGCAGAGATTAGTCCACACTTAGAAAACAATTTCTCCTAACATTTTGCCAAATACCTTCTGATAAAAATAAAATTATCAACCTATAACATCAATTCCATTAATTCCATTCCTATTTCAACTGAAGCTCTCCGACCTGTTCAGTGAGTTTTTCAGACATTTTTCATTTTTATATCACATTTATTGGAGATTGGATGAAGAAAGATTCCAGTTGAATGGCAATGGTGGCACCAGTGCTTCATAATACTTCAGCTACATCAGAAATGGCATACGCATACAACCAAGCTCCCTCTGTAGTGCCAAAACAGCATGCATTTAAATGCAACATTTGGAATAAAAGCCAGTATTGATAGCTCCCAATGTGCATTCTCCTACCACCCTTTGTTTCTATTTTTTGGTGTCCAGCATCAGAATCAAGCTTCCAATTCAGCCTGTTGGTACTGAAATGACAACTATATGATCTAGGAATCAGAAAGAGGGAAGGATAAAGGCTCAGACTACGCTGGTTAAATAAAAGGCACACCAATTGTGAAAAAGATATTTCACATAGAAAAAGACACATGTAAACCACTGAAATAGAAAACACATGAGTTGTGGAAGAAATGATGATGCTAAAGGTTGGATATAGGTACACCACGAGACAGGGTGCAAGGAATCTGGGTAAGGAAGTACAAGACTGAAAAAGACATTGCATCCCAATTAGCAGGTCCCAAAGCTAGCACATCACTTCATCACTGATGACCTCAAATATCTATTCAATTTTCCCTCAAATATTTCCACATTACCTGCTTTCCTGGGAATTGCTTTTATTCACAGGATGAGGGCATCATTGGCTAGGCAGCATTTATTGCCCATCCCTAATAGCCCAAAGGGCAGTTAACAGTCAACCACATTATTGTGGGTCTGGAGTCACATGGAGACCAGGTAAGGATGGCAGTTTACTTCCCTAGCTGACGTTAGTAAACCAGATGGGGTTTTCCAACAATCACCAATGGAGTCATAGGCAATAGACTCTTAATTCCAGGTGTATTTTTATTGAATTAAAATACCACCATCTGCTATGGCAGGGTTTGAACCCGGATCCTGGGGAAACTACCTGGGTCTCTGGATTAATAGTCTGGTGAACAATGCCACTAGGCCATTGCCTCCCCTATTACATTACATTCAAGTCCATTAAATGCATTAATTATCAACCCTTTGCTCTCTGCTTGAAAAAAAGTAAACTTAAATGAGTTGTGCATCTCCCCTGTGCCAAAGTTTTTATAATCTGGGTTTCTTCACTTGACAGTATCATGTTGAATTCTAAACAGGAATTAGAGCGGATGACAGGAAAACAGATCCTTGGAATAGGATGCAGAGGTTTGAAAAAAGCAAAGGTACGGTCCTTCAATCCCCAATGAGAAGATCAAAACGAAACTTCATCACATTACATGAAATACTATGTTGAATATAAATAATGCAGGTCGAAAAGATCATTCAAATTAAGCCAGGATAGCAGGACCAAAGGGCAAATGAAGGAAACTTTATAAACTTTAAGACAAAAATCTTTCACACAAAAGATCTTTCCAGCAGGCATTAGAATAGAAACAAAAGTTACACACAAATCCAACTGGGCATGACTGGTTCATAAAATGACAAGGAATAACTCCCATATGCTGAATGGTAATTAATCACCTTTCATGCAAAATATGGAAACTTAAAATGGTCCAAGAAGAACATTATAAATATTACTGTAGAAATGTCTCAAGGTCACTGACATTACCTCATGTAGCTAATAATTTATTATATAAAAGGTTTTCTCACAAAATGCAAACCACTTGTTTATTCATAAGTATGAAGTATAAATTAAAAACTACAGGTAGACGTTTAACTTATTACTGGTTTTAGATAACAGGCAATGAGATTGTAACTTATCTCTTGCTCAAAGCGTTTTTACAATCTGTGTTGCAACCCAACAGGTTCTAACACCCACCCAAAGCGACTTTTGCCCGATTGTTCCGCCTTTACATACAGTTCATATTTCAATGCAGCATCTCAGAAAGACACCAATGTCAAAGTGATAAAATTAAGACTTGTATTTATATAGTGCCTTTCATGACTATTCAGGTGAATCAAAGCACCTTACAGCAAATTAAATAATTTTTGAAATTTCTTTAATATTACTTGTAATAAAGGAAAGTACTCATGTTAAGTAACTTATCCTATTTAAGTAAGTACAATTTGGTAACAGGGCTAATCCATAGAAGCTGGTGACTTAGAACCAGCAATGTACTGTGAAGCATGAATTCAGGATCAAATACAGAAAAAAATACCAAGTACAATTTGAGGGAAGGATGTTACAAAAACAATATCAACACTTTCTCCCATTTTCACAAATTAGTGTTTCTGAGCCAAAGCTTTGAGATGAAAGCTTTGTCATGCGACGCAAGATCCACTGGCAAGGACAGCATTTGTCCCTAACCCTAATTGCCCTTGAACTGAGTGGTTTGCTCGGGGCATTTCACAGTCAGTTACAATGCTGTGGGTCTGGAGTCCCATGCTGTCCAGACCAGGTCAGGGCAGCAGATTTCCTTCCCCATGATGAACCAGATGGGTTTTCACAACAATTAGTGATAGTTTCATGGTTACCATTACAGAGATTATTTATTTGAAGTTAAATTCCAGCAGTTGCTATGGTGGGATTTGAACCCATATTGTCCAAGCAATAAACTGGGTCTCTGGATGATTGATCCAGTGACATCATCACTATGTCCCTTCTAATGAGGAACTGGGGTACATCACGAAAGGAGCAAGCATTATAAATTCAGATTAGACAATATAGAACCTGTGCTCATTAACTGGCAATAAACAGGATGCACAAAAGGAGCAAAATAGATGTAGTCTCCCGAACTTAATAACAGAAAATACATTTATTTAAATTCACAAGAGACCTGATGAGATTCTTGGACTAGATATTCCATAGATTGGGAACAGTGAGTGGCTTCTCATAATACTCGGGATTGAGTACATGAGTACATTGAGACATGACATGTTACACGAAGGATGTTTGGGAGAAACAGCTGTCTGATTAGATTGATACTGGATTGATGAAATTACCATGATTTGTTAACAATTCCATTATCATTGTATCATGCAATCACCAAGATGCTAAGAGGCAAGCTTTGTTCCTTTATGCATCTAACAATTCTCACGTTACAACAGACAGGACGTATTCCTTCAGTATCTCTCTTTTTATCTCCTTGCCCCTCTTCCTCAGATTCCTGGCTCCCTAGTGCAATACATTCCATGGCAGCTTGGCACCTCCCCACTGGGCATTCTTCATCTGAGTGTCATGACAATATGGGAGGTGGTAAATATAAATCAGAGTTAAATACTACTCTGCACTCTTTGGATGTCCACATGAGGGAATACAGTATTTTATCACTGATATTGAGCTTAGCTATTGTTTAGAGACAAAAGCAGAAATTGCTGGAGAAACCCAGCAATGTCTGGCAGCATTTTTGGGAAGAAAGCTGAGTTAACATTCCGAGTCTGGTGACTGTTCACCAGAACTGATAGCAGGTAGGAAAACGTGGTATTTATTCTGAAGGTAAGGATGGGGGGGTGGTGGCAGGACATTAGCAGATAGGTGGAGATGGGGTCGAGAGAGAGAGAGAGAGAGATATGGAATGGGTAGGTAAACAAGGGGATTATTATTAGTAGGCTAGGACAGTAGAGAAGCTGAATAAAGTGATATTGAGAGATGAGAGTAGGAGAGAATGGGTAGGTTTTGCTTAAAACAAGCCACGCCATGACAGGACCAGGTGTGAGGGTGGGAAAAAAACATGGAAGGATGGAATCAGGCTTAAAGGTATTGAACTTGATGTTGAGTTCTAGATGCTGTAAGGACATCACCAGATCTAGTCTACTGTATTAAATCAGAGTTAACATTTCGAGTCATGGCATGTGTTGCTTTTAGCACAGCCAACCCATTTTCACCCACTCTCAGGCCTATTATCACATTCCAAGTAAAAACCGAAAGAACTGCGGATACTGTAAATCAGGAACAAAAACAAAGTTGCTGGAAAACCTCAGTAGGTCTGGCAGCATCTGTGAAGGAAAAAACAGAGATAACGTTTTGGGTCCAGTGACCCTTCCTCGGAACCAGACCCAAAATGTTAACTCTGTTTCTTTCTTCACAGGTGCTGCCAGACTTGCTGAGTTTTGCCAGCAATTTCTGATTTTGTTTCAGATTTCCAGCATCCGCACTTCTTTGTTTCATCTTTTGCCATTATTTAGATGTTGGCCATTGTACTTTATGTTAATTAGCAGTCATTATTGAAATAATATCACCAACACATGGGTACGGTAGCATAGTGTTTATGTTAATAGACTCAAAATCCATTGGCCTGGACTAGTAATCTGGTTCCGATCCCACTATGGAATTGGGAGAATTTAAACACAGTTATCAGATAAATCAAGACTTTGAAAATCTAGTATTGGATAATAGTGACCAGATAAGTACCATATTGTCATTAAAGAATCTGTCTGGTTCACTGATGCTTGTTAAAGGAAAGAAATCAGCCGCCCCTCGGCCAATCAGCTTACATGTGATTCCAGATCCTCAGCAATGTGGTTAACTCTGAAGTGGCCAACCAAAACTCCCAGCTGTTAGGAAGGTAATTCACTAACAGCTTCTCAGTGGTAATTTTAGGGATGTGCAATAAATGCTGACTCCCACATCCCACGAATGAGATTCATTACTAAACCTATGGCAATCTAACCCATAACGTTGTGAATGCAATATCAGAAACAGGTTGCTAGGCAACAGTTACATCCCTGAATTCCCACGGGAGCACAGTGTTAGCGCCTGCCCCACTTCTGCTTGTAAAAGCTCCCATGGCATCATTTCAAAGAACAGCAGGGGAGATAACCCCAGTGTCCTGACTAATATTTACCCAACAAGCAATATCGCAAAAACAAATGATCTGGTCATTATCATATTGCTGCCTGGGGGAATTCGCTGTGCACAACTTGGCTGCCACGTTTTCTACATTACTGATGTTTAAGGATCATGTAAAGCAACATATAAATGCAAGCCTTTACTTTCTTTAAAAGACTCAAACACAATTTCTCATCCATATACCTCATAGCTCCCAGCATTTTCAAATTCCAATAACTTGATTTTACTTAGGTCTTCAGGTTTCCCGTCTTTGGATTCATTCTGATTGACAGTGGCAATATCCCAAAGTAACAGATTTACCCAATTAAATCCTGTAGAACAGGGTTAAAATAAAAGAGTTATTATAACTGGTTACTTCATCAATGTGAGCAGATACTTGCTGCAGTAACAGAACTTGCCTTAGGGCACAACACAAACTCAAGATGCACATACAATTCCACAGTTACTTATCAGAGAATACAATCATAAGTCTAACATCTCCCTTAGGCAACCATTCCAGGCAGCTGACAGACCGCACAGTGTTACCTTCAGGAGTATCTTCTCTGATGTTTGCTCTGACTATGGCTAGTGTGCCTCATAAGGGAATCATAGTGGGCAAGGCTGCAAAACCAAACATTGGACACGTACTCTTGCCTTCTCTCCATTCAGTATTCGGAATCAAACAGCCTGGAAACTGACTCTTTGGCCTAACTCATTCATGTCGACTAGGTTTCTGAAACTGAACTAATCCCATTTGCCTGTGTTTGGTCCATATCCCTCTCAACCTTTCCTATTCATGTACCTGTCCAAATATCTTTTACATGTTGTAATTATACTAGCCTCCACCACTTCCCCTGGCAGCTCACTCCATACTCGCATCACCCTCTGAGAGAAAAAGTTAACCCTCAGGTCCCTTTTGAATCTTTCCCCTCGCACCTTAAACCTACGCCCTGTAGTTTTGGACTCCCCTACCCTGGGGATAAGGCCTTGGCTATTCACCCAATCCATGCCCCTCATAATTTTATAAACCTCAAAAGGTCACCCCATAGCCTCCTACGCTCCAAGGAAAAATGTCCCAGCTATCCAGCCTCTCCCTATAACTGGCACTCTGCCGTCTGGAAAATCTGGTAAACAATGCAGTAATAGTGCAGTAATTGACTTGAAACAATTGAATGGAATATCCTAAACATTCTGATTGATCTGCCATGTTTAAATTGCAAATTTCCAGTTAAACCAGCAACAATCAAATCAATAAAAACCAACTGCTGTACACCTTCCAAAGAGTTTAACGTTAATTTTGGGCAAGTAGTCTTTTTGTCAATGTTCTGCTTTTAGTTTCACAGATATGATGGCTTCTGCTTTTATTTAAGCACAATGCAAATCTTCTGATTCTAGAACAAGTGAAGGGTCTGATGGGAACCCTCTTTTACATCTAATGATGGACAGACAGCCAAACAGTCAACTGTTACACAGGTTACACACCTTTAGCATTGCACCAAGGATATGGTTTCAATCTTGAAAGCAAATAGTTGCATGACCACAATAGTGAAAGTGCCAATTTTAATCTTCCTGCATTTTACTCTCAATGAAATGCTACACTTCCTTCAATACATTGCCAATCCACCCCTCCCCCAACTGCCACCACACATGCCCTTTCTCCAAATCACAACATAACCCTGACCACTGCTGCTCTCCTTTTCCAAGCGCACGCGACATCTGTTTCTCATTTCAGAGCTGACACAAACACTCTCTGGGTATCCAGTTACAAACTGCATACATTCCACTGTTCTGAGAACTTTCCCAGTTTACACTGGAGACACCTCCTTCCACACAAACACCAGCCCTTCACGCTCACAACTTTCTGTTTTAATACTGGACATGAATGTGTATCATGACCCAATCAGAGGCCATGCATTACTTTCTCCAGGGCAGTTTGGGATGGCCAATCAATGTTGGCCCAGCTAGCAACACCACATCCTGTGAAGAAACAAAATAACTGACACCTACACTTCCTGCAGAAAAAGGCTGAAGTAACTAAAGAACAGTGAACAGAACCAATGAAAGCCCATCAAGCATCCAAAGCCTCACTCCAATGGGGGGCATTGCCATGGAGATACCTGGCACAGGGAGAAGGCTGAAGTCCAGAAATGTCAAGCTTGGACATCACGTCCAGGATGGAAAGTTTGACAATCTGTAAATATCAAAATGCCTGACTGCTTCCCTCACCTCAAATAATCAGACAGACATGCAGGCAGCTGGGGAACTTGGCGTTATGTTGCATTGTCACTCATCTGCCAGGGCTGAGCCTCCACTTGTGCTGCAAGGACTGGACCCTCTCAGGCACATGACTGATAGGCGGAAGGATTGCCAATTTATTATTCGCATTTTGCTGCAAATATGTTCTTTTGTTGCTGTGAGAAGTGTGGTTCAGAATTGCTATTGCAAGGAGCGGCGGAGGGGATAAAATTATTTCAGTTAAAGCTCTCCTCAGTCAGCTACTGCCCAGCTCTCTGGGTACAGGCGAAGACTGATAGCCTACATCCATAGCCTCCTTGGATTTGTCCTTACCCTTCCCCTCCCCCTTTTCTGATGAAGGGTCTAGGCCCGAAACGTCAGCCTCTCTGCTCCTATGATGCTGCTTGGCCTGCTGTGTTCATCCAGCCCTGCACCTTGTTGTCTCGGATTCTCCAGCATCTGCAGTTCCTACTATCTCTGATTCACTTTGTACAGCCTGGATTATCGGACAATGTTGACAAATGGTCTCACAGTGTTAACAGGTCAATCAGACAGTCTGTTTCTGGGCTGTGCTGGCAAAAAGATCGATCCAGGCTTTTAAAAACACTTCCCGAACCGGCCGCCTCTACCATCCCGAAGCACAGGGCAGCAGCTGCACGGGAAATTGGCCCACGCAAGCTCCCCTCCCGGCCAGTCACCATCCTGCCTAGTAGCGTTTCCCGCACTGTCACTGGGTCCAAATCCTGGAATTCTCTTGCTAACTGCAGTGTGACAGGCCCCTCACCACATGGACTGCAGAGATTCAACAAGACAGCTCAGCACCTTCTCAGAGATAACCCAGTGTGGAGCTGGAGGAACACAGCGGGCCAGGCAGCATCAGAGAAGCAGGAAAGCTGACGTGTCAGGTCGGGACCCTTCTTCAGAAAATTTCTGTGATGCTGCCTGGCCCGCTGCGTTCCTCCAGCTCCACACTGGGTTATCTCTGACCCCAGCATCTGCAGTTGTTACTGTCTCTCAGCACCTTCTCAAAGACCTTTACCAACGCTGCCTCCACCCTGTTGAAGAATAAAAGACAGCAACAATGTTGAACATGCTGGCTCCTGTATAGCAATAATGCAGATTGTATCACTGCTCAGTGACATTGGTGTCAGTGAGTTTGGCTCTTTTATTTTGTTGGATTAAGAACCACAGGGATGGGCAGAGATGGACGGCCGTGCGAGAAAGTTAAGGGCGATGTGATTTCTAATGGTATTTCGCGTTCCCGGGAGAATTAACTGAGACTGTCCGTATGAATCTTCAATGGATAGAGCAGCAAAACATTAGCACTGTTAATAACATTAGCACGACTAAACTTACGGTAATTACAACTGTCAAGAACATCAAAAAAGAAGCAACAAAAGCTGTAACATTTCTGTAATAATGAAGATATAACAATCCCGCAGGAATCACAACAAATGAGTAAAAGTGGCCGGAGCTGTACAGAAGGGACTGGGATCGAAAGCAGATTTGAACTTCTGGACAGAGACAAACTTTAAAAATTCAAAACGGACTTATGTTAAAATATCAAACAGGAATCGACAAACATCGGACAGACAGCCTCACCGCATTTGGGGTAGGAAGAGATCACCAGGTCTTCGGAACGAGCCTGGAAGTTGCCCAGAGCCTGCAATGTTTGCACTGAGCTCAGTACCGTGGGGTACAGGATACCGTTGTAACGAAACAAAAGCTCCTTCGGCTGCAGCTGCTTCGCTCTCTCCATTATCCCCTGCACCCTCTCCTGGAAATCGGCAGTGGGTCCGCTTTTGTCAGCTCCCGCTCTCTCACCGTCTTTGCTCTCCATTGCTCTGGGACAGACGGGCAGAGCACACAGCCTCCCGTTTTATTGGCGAACGGCGACTCGCACGCCTGAACGCTCGCACGCTACAGTGCGTGCCAAGAGGCTATTAACAATAACAGCAAACCACCTTTTTTTTCCGCGCTGATTTAGCACTGCGGTTTTACAGCGATTGGGACTGTTAAACATCAAGTGCACCGAGCAATAAAACCCACAAAATCTCAGAAGCTGCGGAAATGCTCAGCATCATCTGTAGAGAGACAGAGAAACAGAGTTAACCTTTGCAGCTGACTCGGAATCTGCACAACAGAGTCCAATCCAAAATATACCACCATCCAAGCCGAGGGGCAGGCGAGATATATTACAGATATTACACAACAGGGAAAGGATGTGTGTGTGTGTGTGTGTGTTGGGTGGGGAGGAGGGGGAGAACAAAAGGGAACGTCTGGGACAGGGTAGGAAAAATATAAACAAAAACCGTGTGCTGGAGTAAGACTCACAGCATCTATACAGAGAGAGAGAGAGAAAACAGAGTCAACGTTTCCAGTCCCTGGGAGTGGTCATGTTTGTGGTATAGAACATAGAACAGTACAACAGAGGAGCGGGCTCTTCAGCCCACAATGTTGTGGCGAATTTGATGCCAAATTAAACAAATCCCTTCTGCCTGCCCTTGATCCATATCCCTCCAATTCTTACATATTCATGTGCTTGTCTAAAAGTCACTTCAACGTCCCTAGCGTATATGCCTCCACCACCACCCCTGGCGTGTGTTCCAGGCTCCTACCACTCTCTGTGTAAAAAAAACTTGCCCCTCACATCTCCTTTGAACTATCCCCATCACCATAAATATGTGCCCCCTAGTATTAGACAGTTCAACTCTGGAAGAAACGATTCTGAAAGTCAACCCTATCTATGCCTCTCATAATTTTATTGACTTCTATGAAGTCTCCCCTCAGCTTCTGCCACTCCAGAGAAAAACAACCTGAGTTTTTCTAACTTCTCCTTATTGCTCAAGCCCTCTAATCCAGGCACAAAACATTTCTCCAGAGTCAGTGTAAAGGCCAGAATTATGAACCCCAGGAGCAGAACATGAAGTTGAATAATGAGAATTAGAATATTTTGGGAGGAAGAACACCAAGGGGAGAGGTATAGGAGAAAGAGCACAATTCAGAAGGGGGCACAGGACTGAGGGAGCTCAGGGCATATCATTGAAGGTGGAAGGACACAGCTCCTAAAGCAAGGAGGCTGGGATTTTGCTGCAGAATCCCTATTGTAGCCCACTTGCTGGGAATTGCCAGGGAAATGAAATACTTTCTTGGGCAGCTACATCAGGAACCCTCTGAATGTCTTCATTTCAATTGGAGACTTTGAACGGTTCTGTTTCATTAAGTAAAATAGCTACTCAGGAAAAGTTAGACAGTTAAATACTGAATCTGAGTAGCTTTTCCATAATTTACCTCCCACACGCCCAATACAATGCCTCAAGCCTACTTGCAGACACTACCTGTCTAGAACCCTACCCACACCAATGTGGCATCACACACCTGGCATCTTACCCCCTCCCCAACTGGCACCCTTCCCAGTTTGTACTCTATCTGCCTGGTTCCCTACCCATCTGCCATCTTACCACTGGCACCTTACTCCCTCCCCAGGTGATATGCATCCCAGCTGGCATCCTGTTTACCTGGAAATCTATGCCCCCTATCCTCCCAGCATCCTAACATCACACTTACATTAAGTACTTACAGTTTGACAGCAAGTATCAAAGTAGCTGCCAGGACCTTCTCCTTTCAGAATATTCCAGCTGATTGCTGTCAATAAGGGGCCACTGTTTTCTCTTCCTCTGACAGTTCTACGTTGTGAATGAACTGTCAAAATGATGGAGATATGAGTGCACATTCCTCTCAGAAATGCAAAACTCCCTTCTTTCACAAAAAGAAAGAGGTGAAATGGTAATCTATGTGAGGTTGCCACTGTTGGGGAATTCCAGCCCACCGTTCTTGGCTTTCTTAATAGCAGCGTAGAGTACAATACCAAGGAGGTTATGTTTAACTTGAGTAAAATAATCAGCCTTCTGGGCTGAACACTGAGTTCAACCAAACTAAACTAAAAGCACTGCCAGAAATCTGAAATAAGAACAGAAACTCAGCAGGTATGGCAGCCTCTGTGGAGAGAGAAACAGAATTAACGTTTCAAGCCCGATATCGCTTCTTCAGGATCTGTAGAAGAATCATATCAGATGTAAAAGGTCTCTCTCCACAGATGCTGCCAGACTGACTGTAAACTTCCAGAACTTCTTGTTTCTGCCTTGTAAGTCTGATGTTTAACAGTTCCAATAAATGCAAAGCAGAAAAAGGCATGAAGTGAAATTAGTACAAAACACTGCAGAGGAGGTAATTTTGTTTAGCCCCAACTGGAATAACACATCCAGTTCTGCATGTGATACTTTAAAGAAGATGTGAAGGCATTAGAGACACTGAAGAAAAGATTCATGAGAATGGTTCCAGGAATGGGGACCTCCAGTTACATTCCTTCCATTATTGACAAGGTTCTTAACATTTTCAAGCTTAAGGGGCTCCAGATCATTACCAAAACAAAGTGTACTATTCTAACTTTTTCTATTTCAAAAATATACTTTATTCATTAAAAATATTTTTATATATATTAGTCACAAACACAGTTCAGCTCTGTACAATACCATATGAAGGGAACAAGCAAACATTGGAGTTTGACTCTAGTCAACAAACAAACCAAAGACATCTCTTACTTGTAAAGACTATGTTTACATGCATTTAAGGTACCAGGAGGGTCCAATAACTGAACAGACATCCATTTAGCTTCAGCAGGAAGACCTCTATTCTAACATCTGTGTCACCAATCTTAGTAGAAGAGGTGGATGCTCGTGGTTGCCATGATTCAGACTGACCCTCCTGAGTGTAACCTCCCTCCTTTATTACAGTGTTAACATTTTGAGCTGCCTTTCTAGCTGCTGTTCTTTTCTCTTCGCACTTTCAAAAGTTCTCTTCAGTTCTAACAGACCTCTCAGTAATAACAAGGGGATAAAATCCTTACACAAATTCTGTGAATCCAATCCTTTATGGTTACAAGGAAAGTAAAAGCTAAAAAATAGAAAATACACATTTCAATAACATATTTGTTTCAGAGATAGTAGGAACTGCAGATGCTGGAGAATCTGAGATAACAAGGTGTAGAGCTAGATGAACACAGCAGGGCAAGCAGCATCAGAGGAGCAGGAAGGCTGACGTTTCGGGCCTAGACC